TCAATCTAGTAGCTATGTGAAAGAAACCCCGATGACGCCAAGCATTACATTAAGGAGACACATTGTGGCCATGTCTCAGTGCCGGTAAACAAACGAGAAAGAAACAGGGAAAAGAAAAAAAGAAGAAGTCTGGGCTTCTGAGATATATCCAAAAAGGGCAAAAAAGCGCGAAGGCAAATCTAATGATGGCTGGAAATAGGAAAGGCATATGCAAACGTATGAATGAAAAGGGTGGGCTGTGTCGAGGAAGAGACACAGGCGAAGAGACAGAGGGAATACCAGAGAACGGCAAAACGTGAGAGCACCCTGGCCCCTCGCTCATCGCAGACCGAGCATCTTGAGAATGTCGTGGCGATAAAAGAAGCTGCGGTTGCGCTTGCCAAACACGTACATGGGGATCGCCAACAGGCACACCACAAGCTGCACGCTGCCCAGCGCATTGAACACCGGCCGCGCCTTGGTGCCGTTGGCCACCAACCAATCGTACGCCTTGTACGTCAGGCCGTAGCTGAAGAAATTTTTGAAAATCAGCAGACAGGTGAAGCCTTCGATGGAGAGGTCGCGGTACGCGTCCACAATGTACAGGCTGCTCGCCACGGCGCCAATCACCATGCCGCACACCTCGAACCCGAAGAACACCAACGGCACCGCCCAGTTGAACTTGGCCTTCATCATGCCGTCAATCGTGATGCCGAAGCCGTACAGGCCCATGACACCAAACACAAGCTGCGGGATGACGAGCACCAGGCGAAACTCGGGCTCGTAGATGCCGTTGTTCATACGCGTCAGCTTCTTGGCGCTCCAGTCCGCCAGCAGGCCGGCAATCAGGAAACCACAAATGGCGCCAACGAAAGCACCTGTGTAGGCGTAGCCCGTCTTCACCTCGTCCCACCACAGCGGGTAGCCCAAGAAAAACTCGGCCATGACCACGCCGATAAACACCGTCCAGCCGATCAGCGTGCCCTGCGTCAGGCTCGCCCAGAGGAACGCCGGCTGCAGGAACAGAGGGAACGGGCGAAGTAACAGCTTGAAGAAGTTTTCGTCCGTTTTGCGCCCGTTGAACAGCGCAAGGCTCTTGACGTACGACACCTTCTCGGGGACGTTTTGCGCCTGCGCGCTACGCTCAGCATCGGCCGGCGCGGTAGCGCTGGGATCGGTAGCAGTAGCAGCAGCAGCGGCGGCGGCGGCACTGGCTGCGCCCTCGGGTGCTGTTGCAATCGCCGGTTCAGCAGCGCCGTTCGTCTTCTCCTCGTCGTTGCCCGACGAGTCCCGTTTGCCAATGGGTTGCGCGCCTTGGCGGATGGCGGCATTCTCGTCCGTGGCGAGCAGGTCCAGGTTCAGTGTGTCGTCGCGTCGGTACGCGGTCTCGGGGCAAAGGAAGATGATCAGAGGCAGGCACATGGCGCAGAAGATGGCAATCAGGTTGAATGTCCACCACCACTTGATCGTGTGCGTAATCTTGCCGACGAGAATCGGGGTAAAGAACGAGCCGCCAAACACGGCCAGGTTGGTAAAGGCCATGCGCTTGCCGCGCTGGTGGACAAAGTACAGGTCGCCGATGGCGGCGTTGACGAGGGCCTCAAACGGCGCCGTGCCGACGCCCTGGACGATGCGCGCCCACAACATGCTCGTGTAGTTTTTGTTGACGGCGCCGCCCCAAGCGCTGCTGCCGATGAGAATGCATGTGCCAATGACAAAGGCGTGGCGCTTGCCCCAGATGCGACTGGAGGGCACGAAAAAGGTCCCGGCGAAGCCCACGCCAAGCAGGTAGTAGCCGGTCAGCAAGGCGACCTTGGTGAAGTCACGCGTAAACCAGAGAGACAGCGTAATGGTGTTTGCAGCGAGGATGGGGCCAAGGGCGGTGGCGAAGATGGCGGTGATGGACAGAGTCGCCGTGATGAGGTCGCGCTTCCAGAGTGGCCAGTTGAGAGGGTCGTTTGGGTCGTCAGACGGCTGCGGGACGAGGATGATGGGCTCGGGGCCGCTGTTGTCGCACTTGAGGCCGGCGAGGCCATCGTGTGCAATCTGTGGTCGGAGGGGATCGTCAAAGTACCGGGTCGTGCCTACGGTGGTGCAGCACAAGCATTAGCGATACTGCGGTTGGATACAGGGGTACATGTGCGCCATAACAAAATGACAACAAGAAACGGGCAAAACGAAAGGATAAAAGAGAAACACCGTGCAGAGCTGGCAAGGTTGTCTCGCGGCGTTCATCACGGATAAGACAACGTACCAGGAACATGTTCCATGACCGAGTCTTCGAGAATACCTAACCCCATGGTGAACAGAGGGGGGGAGATTGTGCGAAGGTGAATGGTGTACAGTCAGATCCAGTCCAAGTCGACTCGACCTGTGCGACGGTCTGAGCCTGGGATGGTCCAGGTCGAGAAAGGGCGAAAAGGACGTTGGCTATCGGACGGCGGCCCGGAGTCGAAATTAAGAAGAAGCCGGCGACTGAGCCGCGATGCAAAGAAAATGCGATGGCCGGGGCGGGATGAGTGAGAAGAGAGAAACCCGAATTAAAAAGCAGCCAAGACCCGGAATGCTAGTGATAATAAACAGAGAGCCTCTGCCGCCGAGTCTGGGAGCGCCTGTAGGACGTGCTAGCTCTGGGCCAATTCGACCAGGGGCCGCTTTTTGGAGGTCTCAGATGGGTTCACACAAGGTGTAGGTGGGAAAGGGATGGCCAGTGTGCATGTCTGGACGCCAGAACTGATCCAGTGGGCGAAGGGAGGTGGGACTGTGGAATATACAGCCACTGATCAGCAGAAAGTCGGAATACTCCGTTAGGACGGTGTCGACTTGGGCCGACTGTCCTGAAGGAAATTGTGGAACGCTAGGCCCGTAGTTGCGAAAAGGGCTTGTGGGGGCCAATGGTCACGAGCCTGTTGCGCGACGGATGGACGTCTCTACGAGTTCTGGTTGTTGGTTGGACGGTATAGGCCGGGCGTAAAGGTGATGATAGAAATCGTGCAGTTGATAGGACGAAGATGTTGAAAGGAGAAGAGGACAAGAAGGAGAAGAGTGATACAGGAAAGGCCGTTGACGACGGCGGCAAACTAAACCAGCAAAAAGGCAACTACGATGGAAAGTGGTGTGTGCACCTGCCGATAATCTTACCTAGGTTCGAGCGATTGGGAACCCAGATCGGAAAGTCCAAGACTCCGGCGTGGACATTTGGGAATGTGCGAACTGGCCGAGCGATATTTACACCTTCGTCAGTAAATGGAAGGAGCACACAGCACGGGTTGGACACAAGTTGCTTACAGATTAGGTCAGATAGGTTCGGAGCCTTTTGAACGACTCCAGATTCTCACTGAATCGACCGAACGCAAAGACGCGACGACCTGCAAATATTGAATTAAGAGTGGCGCGCCGTCGAGCGACTCAATGTGACAAGCGTATGCTGGTCGCTTCCAAATCGAGGCAGCGTCTTACTGCGCATTGTTCCCAGCATCGTGTGTAGTTATCACGACTTACTTTTTCACCGTAGGTACTTCGTATTCTTGTTATGATATTCGAATACGATGGCTGTACGCTGTACGTACTTTTGCACACTAATACTGCGTATACCCGTTATAATGCGGCAGTCTTTGTGCAGGGCTGCCTCCTCTTACCGCGTGGTCATAACGGATCCAACATAAGAACGGGCAACCTGGTATTCGATAGTCTCTATCAGCGATTGTTAGAAGGCCGTCTCTTGGCACTTTGCAACGTCATTGACCGCTGTACTTAGCATGACCGGAGGCGACTCACGGATTCGAGTCTCTACAGCCGCAAACCAGACTCGTTTCAGGCGGCAGCCACCATCACGTCAAGGAAGATGGTGCAAATATCCACCGAACGCTGGGACCCAAATATGCAAACCCGATACTGCGGCCGAATCGTTCCACTACAGGCAACTTTCCATTGGCCCAGGGCAGGAGCAAAAGTGGGCGCTGGTGACGTGTGTCTCTCTGACCGTGAGGTGAGATATTACCAGATTAGACACATTTTCGATGTGCATGCAAAGCTTGTCGATTCCTCCGCCAACAAACTCCGATCTCCACAGGCAGAATCGTAACAGAAAATAACCAAAAAGCAAGAGCGAGGAAAAGAGGGGTGCTCGAGGAGCTGCTGGTACATCGTAAAAGCAGGGAAAGAGGGATGGACGGGACGAAAGTACGGGGAAAGCGACCGATTTTTCTCAAGTAGGAAGGCATCGTCATTCGTCCCAAACTAGCAGGAAAATGCTGCCCCGAGTCGTGCTGGGAGCCGGGCCTTTTCTGGTCACAATGACCTTCTTTCCTCTTTTGTGACACGCGTTTTGCACAGCAATACTCCGTAACCGTTCCCGGGTCGCACTTTCCCCTCTTTTACTGCCCATGTCCTCACCCCGGCCCACTACATCCTGGCTTGATGGCAAGAGGATCCACCGCCAATCACTGGGGAATGGCCTGGTGGCGGCGCAAGGAGAAGACACCAAATGGCAGCGAGTGCCAACGGTTGGCGCACTATGACAGTCGCCGGCCCCCGTAATCTGTATGGGGTTTTAATATTCGTACACATACTGATGGAGAGCTTTTACAGTGGAAACCAGAGCAACTGCTCTGGAAGGCGCGTCGCAACTCCTCCTTGGCTCTAATATTATGGATCCCCCTATTTGCGCTTGGCCGTTAACCGTGTGGTCCTAATTTCACCCCTTGTAAGCCGAATTTCCTAGCCCCTGCCGTCTGCCATAAGTGAGCCTCTGTGCCTGTTTATTAGTCTGCCGTGCGCTTGCTGCTCTTTGCGTTGCTGACCCCCTTTGCAGCAAACTTGTAATTCGTAAAATTGTCTAATAAACGCGCATCTTTCCCCGTCGCCCCCCAATTGTATCTCTACTCGCTTCTGACCGTGATCCTGATGTTTCGTGTTGGTTGACTTTGCGCTTATCGTCGTCTCTGTTATCGTCACCCCGAACTCACGCAATTGCCATTGAACCGTTTCTCGCTCGCGCGCCCTTCACAGCCAAACTCACAATGAAGTCCTTTACGATCCTCGCACTGGCCGGTCTGGCCGCCGCCCAGTTCGCCCAGCTGCCTACCTGCGCCGTACGTTACCCCGAATAAAAGCTGGGTTAGGAAGACGGAGACACTCAGCCGTCTGTGTTCTTGTGGACTGGCCTGGTCCGACTGTCGTACAAAAAGTATGGAACACGCAAGCCCCGAAACTCGCTGGCTGACTCGCCTCTAGCAATCGTGTGCCAACAAGTTCCTGACCGGCGGCATTGGCAACTGTGGCTCCGACGCCAAGTGTATCTGCTCCGACAAGAGCTTCCTGTCGGACATTGCCTGCTGTCTGGCGGCCCCCGGTGGCTGTGACGCCGCCGACCAGAGCTCTGCCGTCGTCTTCGCCTCGCAGCTGTGCGCCGCCCAGGGCGTCACCGTCCCCTCGGCCGTCACCTGCACGTCTACCGCCGGCGGCAGCGGCACCGCCGCCACGGCCACCACCACCACGGGCTCCGGCACCCCCACCGAGACCAGCGGCGCCGCTGCTACCAAGACCGATTCCACCAGCGCCACCGCCACGGGCGCCACCACCTCCCCGGCGACGACGGCCGCCGCTGGCACGACCTCGTCCAAGTCGACCAACTACGCGCCCCGCGAGTCGGCTGGTGTCGGTGCTGGCCTGCTCGGCGGCGTCGTCGCTGCTCTGGCCCTGCTGTAAGGAAGGCAGACGCTGGCGTGGTGAGAGAATGCGGGCGTGACAAGACGAGTTCTTTAGAGAGGGAGATTGAGGGAAAATATGGTCTCGGGACATTGTGGTCCTCGAATCTCAACGATTTGTTACTATTTACTGTATACTACATTTTTGGAGACAAGATTGGTCGCTCTTGAGCCATTTTGCCTCCACACACTTAATGTCGTAGAAGGACGTGTTTGCCAATATGAAGTGATTTGACGATGTTATTGTCGCGCCCGATAAGTTCACTCGTCCCAGCAACAAGGCGATAGAGAGCAACCAAGAAAGGTAAGGCACTTGCATTCTTGGCATGGACGGCCTGGGTAGAATGGTATGTGGGACAATATCTGCAGCCTGCAGCCGCTCGGGTCTTGCGCCCAAGGCTGGCCGCAGCGATTGGTTGCGTCGGCAGTTCTCTTATCCAGAAAGTCGACGAAGCCAGCTCCATGTTGATATGCCATCTCCAGTTAGCAAGTCGAATTTCTTGCTGTAATTTTTATTCTTTCTTTGTTTTGAAAAGAAAAATAAGATATTAAGATTGGATGCTTCTGAGGTGCGGAAAAGGTTGGGAAGTTTCACTTGGTATTCAGCAAGTGAAAGCTACTTCATCAAAGCCTTCTTCTTAAGCAATTGCCCAGGCCAAGTATTTACAGCAAGAATTGACGTAGATGCATTTTCAAGTGAGCGTGAATTAAATAAAAATGTTGTCAACGGAAGTTACGATCGGGAATGTGGGACAAGAACGGCAAGAAGTAAAATACACATCGATCGCACCTGCCCACGTTGCCCACATAAACAACCACCCAGCCAAAATTTCCATCCAATCACAAAAACACGCCAGTGAAAGAACAACAGCAACAAACATAGCCTCATCCCCAGCCTTGCGCCATGTTAACCACTCGCATTTTACACTCTCCGCAAACCGTTAATCGCCATATCAATACCACATGCAACGTTAGCGAGTACATTGCTCCTCACCCACAGCACAATGCGCAAGAGAGATAGGTCTGCCACCTTGCTTGACAGTGTGCAGAAAAAGCATCACAAATCAGGTGAACCTGACGATGAGACGCGCACACCTGCACCTGTCGCGAGCCAAGATGCTGAGCATGACGGAGACGACGGGGAAGATGGGGAAGATGGGGAAGATGGGGCAGGTGGGGAAGACGGACAAGACAGAGACGACGCCGAGGGCAGCCCTTTCTCTGCTAGGGGTGACGAGCGGCCGCTCGTTGTGAATCCACCGCCACGGTCCGCGTACAAGATCCCGGCCTACACACATGAAAACCGCACCATGCGATTGTATGCTGGCCCTCTTCGCAAATGGGACCGCCGACAGGCTCTTGTCAACACCGTGTACGGCCCTCGGGCCGATAATATCAGACTGTTCTGGGACCTCCAAATCCGCTGGCAGCGCTGCATGTATCCCAAACCCCTCCGTCAGGACGACGTGGAGCCAGGAAATACCCGGGGCGTGGTACTTGTCAGCCCTTGGCTGCCGAACAATTTGGAATCCGACCAGCAGACCGCATACGGCTCATGGTGGAACAAGTATGCTGCAGCCATGCGTGCCCAGAGCAGGGCGCCGTTTGGCGAGGTGGACGAAATCGGGGAGACGGAGGCCACACCTTTCCTCCCGTGGTATGTCTCTACGGAGTCGGACTTGGACATTTTCGATGACAGTTCGAACAGCATACTCTGTCTGCGGGCAGGCGAATCGTCGACGTACAGAACCACCTCAGACGCAGGCGCCGGGGCACGGTCCACCGGTTCTAACGCACCCACAGAGACCAACCGCGAGGGCCAGGTTCCTGTGGACAAGCCACCGAGTCCAGTATTCTACTTTAACCCGGGAGGCAAGGTCCTCTCCTTGGCCTGGGCACCCATGCCCAAGGCTGGCCGGATGGAAGGCTCCTTGCTCGCTGTTGCAGTTGTCCCGCACAAACACGACGATGACAATAACACTGTCGACGGTCTCTCAGGCGCCACAACAAAAGAAGAGAGGGCCAGGTTCTCCGAGTCGCCGGCGAGCATTCAGTTTTGGAGAGTCGCGCTGCGAGGTGGCAAGTCCGGCGAACTAAGTGTCTTTGGCGACGGAGCGCGGCTAGATTGGGTGAGCTGCTTCTACTGGGGGTGGCCGAAGCGGTTGGAGTGGTGCCCTGTCCAGCCGCTCATGGGCGACTCGTGGCCTGGCTTACTTGCCGTGCTCACCGAGGACGGCATAGTACGCATCATCAAAGCCCGAGGGGGCATGAAAGAGCAGACTCGATACGGTAAGACATGGCCTGTTTCGTTGCAGCAACCCACTCTGCTATGCCCTGTCTGCTAACAAATCGCGTCTAGGCAAAATCATCCACGCGTTGGCGTCTCTAGACTTTCCTGGCGAGGAAGGCGTCCATGCGACTTGCATGTCGTGGGTAGGTATCAACCGGATAGTGGTTGGCTACACCGATGGCACGATCGCACTCTGGTCTGTGTTCCCACAGCTGGTGCTTCTCCGCTTCCCAACACATATGTCCGCTATACAAGACATCCGCTCCGGTTATCCATCCAAACCGTACCTGGTGTCTGTACGCCCAGTGGAGGGCGTCCTTCGCCTTCTCGATCTCACCCGCCCCAGCAGCGAGCACACCTTCCACCCGAGCCCAGTAGCCGGCATCCAAGGCAACATGCTGGACTGGGTAGAGCTTATGCAGGGCTTTGCAACGTCTGCGCCAGCCAACAGCCCCGTGAGTTATAAGCTTGACTTCTTGCACCACCGGCACTTCCCGTGCCCTCGCAAGTTTTTCCCGTCTCGGCGGGAATCACCGCCGACATGCCTGGCCGTTGGCAAGACGCACCCGTTTGCTCTCGTCGGCGCGGCCGACGGAAAGGTGTGGGCGTGCAACATTCTTGACACAGTATTCCCTACCCACTGGGAATCGCACGTGCCTTCCTCCACGTTGATTTTTGCGAGCGACTTCAAAAGACCGACCCGGCAAGACCCCGAGGCCAGTTCTCTCCGCGGTGGCACGCTGTTCCGGTTCATGTTCAAGCAGGAAACCGAGTCGAAAGCCGACATTCTTGAGGACGACGCGGCGGACCCAGACGATTTGTCCGGCCTAGGGCCGTCCGCGCTACCTGGACAGGAGGCACTGGGGCCCGTTATCCACGAGAAGCTGGCTTCCGTCACGGCCCTTGCTTGGAACCCGGATTTCGCATTTGGCACCTATTTCGCCATTGGCCTCGCGTCGGGCCTGGTGGTGATCCGACAGCTAGATGGCACTGTTTAGGAACTACCTAGGATGCATTGGGATGAGTGACTCCGTTTTTGTATGTGTCTGGCGCGTATGCACTGATTTCTTAGCGGCAGTATTGGTAGAAACGGCGGGACAAATAGGATTATCCAAAAAAGGTTTACTTATTTACAAGAAACCCGTCTCAAATGAAAAGCTTTTATACAAGACTCACGCCCCATTCGGGCATGCCACGTTTGCCACCCTATCTTGTCTCCCTCACAAGTTGCGGCCACCGGTAACCATGATGGTCTGGCCAGTCACGTAGTCGAACAGCGGGCTGGCCACGGCCAGGACGGCGCTGGCGGCCTCGGTGGCGCTGCCTGGGCGGCGCAGGGGAATGTCGGCGTTGGCAGCCTCCTGGACGGCGGCGGGTGCGGTCGGGATGCCCAGGGCGATCTTTTCGCCGTCGGGGCCGACCACGAAGGCACCCTTCTCCTTGGCCTGGGTCAGGCGGGTCAGGATGTGGCCAAAGGCGACGGTGTTGACGCGGACGCCGAACTTGGGGCCCCACTCCTTGGCCAGGGTCTTGCTGAGGCCGGTGACGCCCGCCTTGGCCAGCGAGTAGTTGGCCTGGCCGGCGTTGCCGTTGACGCCCGAGGTCGAGGAGATGTTGATAATGTTGCGGCGCTCGCCGTCGGTGACGCGGAAGTAGGGGGCGGCGGCGCGGATCAGGCGGAAGGGCGCCTTGGTGTGCAGGTCCAGGATGGTGTCCCACTGCTTGTCGCTCATCTTGTGGATGACGCCGTCCCAGGTATAGCCGGCGTTGTTGACCAGGATGTGGATCTTGCCGTTGCCAAACTCCGCGGCCTTCTTGACGAGCTCGTCAATGTACGCCTGCTTCAGCAGGTCGCCGGGCACGGCAAGGGCCTTGCCGCCGGCCGCATTGATGGCGTCGGCGGTGGCCTGGGACTTGGCGGCGTCAATGTCGGAGATGACGACCTTGGCGCCCTCCGCGGCGAAGAGGCGCGCGGTCTCGGCACCGATGCCCTGGGCGGAGCCGGTGATGATGGCGACCTGGTTCTGGAGGAGCTTGCCGCTCTGCAGGTGGCCTGCGATCTGGGACAGACGGTCGGCCATTGTGTGAGATGTGTGTGGGAGCGGAAACGTGGAGGCGGGTGGATGATGTGCGGTTTGCTGGATTTCCCTGAGATGAGAAAGCAAAAGAAGGAAAAGCGGAAAAGAGGAGATGGAAGGAAACACAGGAAGGAGGCCTAATAAAGAAAAAGCGCTGGGAAACAAAAAGGGTTGTAAGTTTCAAGGATAGCTCCGTCTCGGCGTTCGTTTTCAGAATTTCCAAGACCGAGGCAGTCCAAACGCTCGTTCCTTTTCGTGTCGCAATTCGGTGTCTGTGCCGTCGACGAAGCAATGCCGCGTCCCCGCCATTGGCTGCTTTCAGCACGACATTTGTGACGGGCGGACGTTATTACGGGCCAATACACAATACGACCTGGTCAGCGCAACTGCTTCTTTGCTGCCGATGCGCATTCCGCTACTGCATTCTGCCGAGGTACGATACGCTCCTCAGCCAATTAGACCCAGCCCCCGCAGTAGTTCTCCTGCCCCATACTTCACAGGGCCGTGCTCCACTTTCCCCAAAGCCCAGTTGGTCGAGCTGTGGGCTCAATAGAGCAAGCGGGCAGCCTTGCCGCAGGCCCAGGCCTCGACATTTTGAACAATATGCTGTACAGCAGACTTCATCACAATGCC